GGAATGAAAAGCGTTCGAGAGAGACCAATAGACTGGCGCACAAACTGACAGACAGGCAGATGGTAATGTAAACACCAAGGGGAGACTGACTCATGATCAAAAGGCAGACACAGTCGTAAACAGGTGATACAGATAAACACAGTTAACAGTGTGTAGGATTTTGTTTACTTAAAAACAGAGGGCCGGTTTTATAAACAAAGTTTAGCCGTTTTTTAACAAAATCGCGTTAACTATCTTGAATTTAGCTAAATCTTTTTCTGAAACGTTCATTTTTCTAAATGGTGTTAAGAGGGCCGAAATTTAGCCATGGAGGGACATTTATTTAGTGACAGCAACCCTCTTATGGAGAATACGTAAGGTCAACTGCTTGCGTAAAACCGCGGTTTGGGTTTAGGCCTCGTCTAAATAGCCGGCCAAAATCATTTGTAAGACATACCATCTGGGATACTCAGAGGTCTTATCACATCATTCTTTAATGAAGAAGGTATTACAACGCTAACAGAAAATTCCGCCTTTGACACAGGATACCAGTGGTAAGTTGAATAAATAGACGTCTCTGTGACTCCATCCAATAGAACGCCTCCTTTTGGTAAATAACGAGTCGCTTGGAATGACTTGGACCCTGCTGTACCGCTGGTAAAGTAATGAAAAATACATGTTCATAACTATGAATTAGCTCGCAGAGCAGGTGTCGGGGCGAGTTGACATTAAGAAGCGCGCGATCGTTTATTAAACCGGCCATAAAATTTGGACTCGACGATAGAGAGGGGCCGGGGGGGGGGGAAGGAACTCCCCTCCCCAGCCTCTCTCCTTATTTTTGATCGTCACCCATCCCCTTGGTAAAAATTTCTTTCTCTCACTAGCCTTCCGCTGCCATTGAATTCAAAGATGGCGGCCATTTTCAGCCAAGAAAATACTGAGGACTCGCTTGCCCAAATTACGACTGCCTTCCAGGCTAAAATTTGAATGTAAATTTAAACAAGGAATTTAACGCAATTTTCAGGTTCTTGGGTAAAGAAAAGTGTGTATACTCGCGTCGTTATATCGAGCTTGAGCGACTCTCCCTTGTGTGCACAATTTCTTCGTGAGCAACAGACCGAGCAAAAGCCCTGATCTGAACGAAGGAAATACCTCTGTGTCGAAAGCTACGACTGCAACAACCATAGCTTTTTTTTAGATTTTTATCACACATTATAAGCCTTTTAACATGATTAATGATGTTGAAAGATGATTGCGGAAAAAGCGATTACGTGACACTATGTAAGTCGTAAGATGACATTTTATCAGATTTCAGACGAAAAATCAATAGAAGTCCTCAGTCTGCATTTTGTCCTCGTTCTGCAGTCTGCAGTCTGCATTTTTTACTGACCGGAACTTATATCATACTTGCACTTGCTAAAAACATCACAGCTTCCAAAGGGAAAGAAAGGTCAACTGCTTTACATTTGCTTCATGCGAAATTTATATAATTATCATCTTCGATATTATTATAGAAATCTATTCTTGAATATATGCGATAAATAAAGCTCAAAGACATCGGTGCCGAGAAAAGCTATAAACAACATACTTTGTCATTGATTCAAAGACTTCCTTGAAATCTGCCTCTGGTCGTTCAAGGTTCCTTATGTCCATATAAATAGGGTCCCCATAGGCGTCAGCTGGTGCTGGAAGGAGTGGATGGATCAGGGTCCTTCCAGATTTAGTGATCATGAAAGCATACGTGGTTCTTCCTTGCTTGAAATATTTGGTGATGTCGGGCATGAGGTCTTCAATATTGATATCAGTTCCAGCAACTCCTATGAACTTCCCATGGTGATAGCAAGCTATGGTGATTGATACCAAAAGTCCTGAAAAATATTATCGTCAAGTGATTAATGAATATATTGATGGAGCGTGCATGCTTTCAATCGAAAACCAAATTGATTACAACAGCCAAATGATAGGAAAATACCGTGAGGCGCCTATGAGAGCTTAGAGTAGAAGGAAGGAAACGATATAAAACCTAGAAAAACTTGACTCACCAAGTTTTAAGTTCATTATCTGAATGTTGCCAGTGTTGTAGACAATTCTTTGAGCCCAACAAAGCTAAATTAATGCAATCCCGGCTAACTCTATGAAAATTTATAACTCAGAATGGGTAATATTTGCATGGAAGATTGATTAATCTTGGCACTTAAAAAGCTAGAATCGCTTTCGGCTATCGCCTCGAGCGACTCT